CCCACTAATCCACTCCCAGACATAACGTCAAGTACTCGTCTTCTTCATCCAAGTATCTGTCCATCCTCAGACAAGGTGATACAACTGGCAGAAGCCAGTACACGAGTCTGGATTCAGGGGCAAATAGACTTTCCTTATACCTATTCTCATCCTAAAATTTACGGCTTAATGGGCGTAAGAGAGCATTTTTGTTGTCTATTTAAGGCTTTACTCTCAAGTTGAGGGCAATACTCTAGAGAGAGAAAGACAGCTCTGAGTTCCAGATTTACCTGCGCATCAGTCACATGGGGTGCTTGTCAGAAAAGAGTTCCAGACCACTCTCCAGTTCTACCAAATCAGAATCTCATGGGGAGGTGTTTGAATTTTTAACAAATGTCCTGGGACCTAGTGATTTTCATTCGGAGGCATGTTTAGGGAAAGCCAAGATAGATGTCATCCCACAGCTATTCCCGAAGTCCAAAGAAAAGGGATGACTTAGTGTGCTTGGGGTACCGTAACAAATATCTTAGAGCAGGTGACTTAAATCACTTCACTTTCTTTTTCAGTTTTGGAGACTAAAATTCAAGAATAGGCTGCCGGCATAGACAGGTTTGAAGAGGGCTGCCTTCCTGGCTTGCAAACGGCTTCCTCCTCACTATGTTCTCACATGCTCTTGTGTTTGTGTGCAGTGGACAGAGAGCAAGCTCTCTGGTGTCTCTTCTTGTAAGGGCACTAATCTCATCATGCGATCCCTTCCTCATGACCTCTTTGAAGTGTGTGTGTGTGTGTGTGTGTGTGTGTGTGTGTGTGTGTGTCTGTGTTGTTGAGAATCAAACCTAGGGCTTCCTGCTTACATAGGCAAGTAAGTGTTCTCCCACTGAGCTACACCCCCAGCACGACCTCATCAAATGCTAATCACTTTCCCTAGACCCCATATCCAAAGAGCATCGTATTGGAAGATCAAGCTTCATTCAACATACGAATTTGGGGGAGGGACAAAATTTTTGTTCATAACGAGAGTGATCGGGCTTGGTTTCCTCAAAGGGGCTGTTATTTATTTGCACAGCTGGATCTTTCCTTGGGGGTTTTTGCTCCTCACCCACCAAGGGAAAGCCCTATTAAATGAGGCATAAGTATGAGGAAATTGTGTGTCCATTGGTTTTGGCAACTTACAATGAACAAAACACGATGCTTTAGAATAATCAAACCCAGCATAAACAAGAGAAAGAAAGAAATTAGTGTTACCAGGTACTTTGGATGTTAGTGCAGTTAAGCACTAAATTTAGCTCTGGGCCTGCTGATAACTGAGGCCAAAGAGGAAAATGCATTTGCTAATTGTCTTTCCTATTTCACGCATGTTAAATTCTGGGTAGAGTTCCAGCTTTTACTAAGCAAAGTGCTATTCCCACACTTATGTCCTTTAAAGATGAGAAAAACCGTTGTTTCTTCCCCAAGAGCTTAACAATTTGGTCTCCGTGTGCTTCTAGCTTATTAGAGAAGCAAAACTAGCAATAGCAAAAGTATCCCAGGGGGGCGCTCCTTCCCCAAACATGTACTAGAACCTGATGAGAAAAATAACACATTTTGTAAAATCTGCAGTTGAGGTTTTTTTGTAGATCAAAAGAATTTTCGTACTGTTTAATAATTTAGGTAACCGTAGCGATCCAGCCACATTCCAGACATTGCTCAGAAGTTACTGGTTCCCTGATTCCAAATCAGTGATACCATCAAGTAGGTCCAGTTTCTCAGCGTCTCTATAACCAGAAGAAGACAGCTCAGTGGGGTGATAGTTCCTAGTATCAGATTCACCTCTGCCATAAATTAATTGGCTGAGTTCCACTGAGCAGCTTGTTTGCCATCTCTGAGCCTGTTGTCTTCAGTGATTCAATAACCATATATTAAACATCTCAAATATGCCAAATGCTGTCCTGGTGAAGCAGAGGGCCCTGCTTCTGGGGAGACCACAGGCTGGAGACAAGGGAGTTTTCCAACCTATAATGTAGCTGCCTTCTTTTTGCGGGTCTCTGGTCTCTCTCCCTCACTAGTTTGGCACATAAAACAAAACTAAAAACATGTAAATGCATGAAAGAACAAATGAATGAGTGAGTGAATGAAACACAAAGCTAATTTTTAAACACTTTATTTTAATACCATTCTTCTCAGGGTCCCCTTTGTCTATAACAGAGGCCCAACTGGTCCATCTTCCTGTTTGACCTGTCTTAGCCTTTAATCCTCAGGAAAGCCTCTTTTGTAGGCTCTACCCTGCTTCTTTCATCTCTCTTTGGCAGTTACTCAGAATCTGCTTCCATTCCCTATACCCCTAAGTATTTTCTTATACCAAAACTTCAGCAGATAGGCACTGAGCACACCGCATTTCGCAAACACTGGGAAAGCCGAGATGTTGCCATGCATGGACTTTGCTCCACATCACTCTCAGTGGCTGCATGGTGCTTTGCACAACCCTTTTATGGCCACCAAGGATGTGCCCTACCCTTGGACTCACACTGCTGAGATACCAGAAAGCCAAAATGGCGTCACGCAGTCTTACATCAATACATTCTGCCCACCTCTCACTCACCACTCCATGCTAGCCCAGCAATTTCTAACCAAAGCAGCCATTTGGAATATGAGACCCACTTAAGCATCCACGGGACATGAATCTCAATGCTACATCAAATGCCCAGAGTGTCCAACGGTTATTTCTCTCCTCGACATCAGTCCCCCACCATTATCTGATCAACGACTGGAACATTGTTTTTTTTTTTTTTCTTTTCCAATTTCTCCAGAAAGCATTGCTCAGAAAGTAAATTTCAAAATTAAAATAAATAGTATCTGAGTAACATGTCAAAGTTTAAAACCATTTCTACGCACATTACTTCAGTTAATCATCATAGCAAAACTTGAGGCTCAGAGGATAAAGAAGTAGACCACAGGTCATGTGGTCAGCAAAGCGGCACATCTGGCGTTTATGTCCGTGTCCTCTGAGACCGAATCTCAGAGACTGTCCTGAGGGAGCCGACTGGTCCCATTTTTTCCAGTCCTCATATTCACCAAAAATCACAGATTTAGTCTTGAAGTGTTTCTCCAACAGCATTATCCATAATTTAAAGAGAACCTCATCCCGGTTAAAAGAAGAAAGTGTTCACTACCCAGTTCTAAATGTGTGTGTGACTTGGCATTAAGTCTGGCATTTATTTTTCAGTGGAAGTTATGCAGGCTTTTCTCAAACTCTTGAGCCTTAACCAACCTCTTCATTTTTCCAAACGTTATCTCTAAAGAGATGGAGAGGGGTTGGTGCCCTTCCACCTGGAAGGAAAGTTGGCTGGGTTGTATATATGTTGGTTTAGACTTGGGTTGTATATATGTTGTGTCTACCTCACTTCATTCATAAAACAACCTCCTCCTTCTACTGGCCTGTGTATGCCATGAAGCCTAGTAAGATCATGAGTCCTCATTCGGCCCAGCCCGTCATGGGCTGTAGCTCCCTGGAAGAGCTGAGCTCTGCATGCTTTGCTGTCTAGCAAACCAAGGCAGAAGGGCACAGCACCCTGATAAACTATCTTTTAATGTATGACATCGGTGGGTTCAAAATAGCAAAGGGAGCCTTTGGATTATTTAAAACAATAATATTTCCAGACCTCCATTTCATCATCCATAAAATGAAGGAAATAACACTTTAATGAAAATTAATAGAAGATGATCGAGGGCTTTTCCAATTTGCAGATATACCATTATTTAGAAGATGTTACAGTAAACACCAGTATCCCCAACTTTAACTTCTCCTCTAACTCTGAACTGCGCTGGACAGAGGCCATTCTAAAAGAAGGAATCAAGGTTTTCATTTGCAGCTGAAGTTGCTGGTTCAACCATCCTTTCAGTCACTCCCCTTACATGCTAACCGGCTTTGCTCATGAGCATCAAACTTTGCTGCTGTTTCGATGTCAAATGATTCATAGTTAGAGGCAACCAGATCACTGGTCCCCTCCGGGTGCATTGTCCCTCTGTTCCCACATGCTCAGGGAATCGGGGAAATGACAGAGCAGTGTTCTCCAGCTCCTGTGGTGTCGTCTCCAAGATCTTTGCACACCCTGAGTGCCTGCGGGTAAGTGTGCCTCTGCACATGCCAACCAGGGTTAACCCCTCTCCATTTTTCCCTTTTCCTTTTTATTACAGCTTTTCAGAAAGTTGATGAGGTGAAATATTCTCCAGCAGAGGAAATAATATAAAGCTTAAAAGTCATTTTGGATGGAATGGTGAAATAATTCCACTACTTTTCTTTGAGTAAGAAAACAATAATACAACAACCTGGGGCAGGCTCTGGGGATTTCAGTATTGATAGATTGGAGGGAAACATAATGGCTTTGGATGAACAGGTTTTTCTTTTAACTGGCTGAAACTCTTTGGGGTGGAGAGATGAGAAAGACAGGTGCTAGACAATAGAATAAACTTGGCACCAACCGATTTACATAATTTGTATAGAAATGCATTGGTGTATGAAGCACTAAGTGACTGTTGAATAATGAAAATAAAGCCTTTTGGAAAACAATCTGTGTTCACTGCCCAGCTCTAAAATAACTGAACACTTTATGAAAAATACTTCATGTTTCTTTGTGAAAACGATTGGTGGTTCAAGATCTGTGAATGTACCTGCGCACTCTTAAGAAACTACAATCTGTTATGCTATTGTTTCAAGTAATTCTTAAGAGTGCATTCCCTCAGCAGAGCAGACGTGGGCTGGGGGCGGGGCGGGGCTGGGAAGAGGACCGTAGCCAGCTCTCTCCAGTGCAGTCCGGACTATTTGACATTTCTCCATGATTAAACGCGATCGGGAGGGCTGGCGAAGTGTGTGAAGCAAAGATTATAAACAGCAATTTTCGCCGGCCAAATTGCTTCCTAAATGAAGGCATAGGAGATTTAAAGGTGAACATAACTGTCTCTTTAGCAGCATGCAGAGGTTCGTTCTGCGCGAGAAACAAAACCCTAACTCCCTTCTGACAAGTATTCCTTAACAGGCTTCCCAGATATCTGAAACCAATTTTAACCCACGCTGGCCCTCCACTGACCACCACACTACCGGAATGGTGTGGGCCAATTTCCAGGCTGCTGACCAGTCCTCAGGCTTATGGGGTGAGTAAAGTATCCCACGTGGGACAAGCTTGGTGAATATTGATGAGCATGGGAACGTCGGGGTTATTATTTCTTGGCTTGAGGAGGAAGCATTTTTTAAATTTGCTGCACCAAGAAGCATTTCTCTTCTCTTTTCAGTTGTTGCTGATGTTGGCTTATTCTTCTTTTTAAAAATGCAGTTTTTTTATTGTTACCAATATTTTTAACCATAACACGAGCTTAGAAAATGTAGCAAAAGTAATGTGTCCTCACAAACTGCTGTGTTTTGAGGTTTTGAATATTAGGCCTGTGCTTTATAGCTCAAAGGGGTGGAATAAAGAATGCTGAGAAGCAATTAGAATCATTATCAGCATATCAGAGTGTCAGGCAATCGGAGAAGAGCAGTATCTCAGGGTTGAAAGTTCCCCTACAGGATGTGCAGCTGGCTGCCCCCTTGCATAAATCTAGAACACACACCTCAGACGTGTGCAGGGCACAAGAGAATAATGCAAGTTCTCAAAGTGTGGTCCCCAGCCCAGAAGCTTCAGCACCACTTGGGAACTGGTTAGAAATGCATATTCTTAGGGCCAAAGCCCAGAAACCATGGGCCTGGGTCCCAGCGAACTGTGTTTCAATGGCTCTGCACATACTTCTGGTATAGACTCAAGTGGGAATCATGCCTTATGATACCCAGCCAGTGCTCATTCTTTGAGTTAGTTAGTATAGCCTCCTGGAGCCTACAGAAACTGAACTGAGATTTCAGTTCTTCCCTTCAAGAGAACCTCTGTATGAGAAAGATTATTATTAGCCAGTATTGTTAGTTTCCCACATTATCTTCTATGGTAACTTCCAACTGTTTCTAGCCTTGTGACATTCACCCCAAGAAATGTGCTGAGGGGACACCTTTTTAAGGTAGAAAATAACAGGAATTGTATTTTGAGACTTTTGTGATATTCGGGAGCATTACAAAACCTACGTAAGATAACCTCTCCACTCTGAGCCACAGATCCTGCTAACTCCTTGCTCCTCTACACCCAAGTTGGTACCAATGTTAGAAATAGCCATTAAATTCCATCTCACTCCCTTAACCCAACAAGATGTTTAATCGGCATATGTTCTGTAACAGCTCTCATTTTGAGCCTGTAGAACTCTCTTGACTGGATAGAACCAAGTTTCCAGTGCTGACTCAGGGAAATCCTGAGCCATGCCTAAACAGAAACCATCAAGGCAAGATGGGGAAGTTAAGAAAAGGAAAAGAAACATTCTATTTTCTTACACAATGGTACCCCTGTTTTCCTCTGACTTCATCATCAAGTGACCTGTCTCTCCCTTTGTCTTTCCAAAACCAGGAACAGTTAAAAGAGGAGGATGTGGACTGCATTGTAAATCAGGATGAACTAGCCATGACTTATCAGGAGCAAACCTCCTCCCCCTGCAGTCCTCCGCCAGGGCCAGACGCGGACCAGAAAGCTTCACCCCAGACTCCAAGCAAGGAGAACATCTATGAGGGAGACCTGGGCCTAGGAAGCTATGAACTCAAGCTTGAGCAGACTCTGGGGCAATCCCAGATGAATTAATTGGCATGAAGAGTGCAGATGTAATCACAAGGAAGGCAAGGCTCCCTGAGGACCACAAGCCAAGATGATGACACTGTACAGGGGAGAGGCTGGAAAATGTATTAAGAGCATAAATTGGAGATGATCAAAACCTTGTCTGGTGCCTGCAGAAATGAGAATTTATTATCAGTGCTCTATATTATGCAACTGAACTTAATTGTTTATCAGCAGCCAGTTTTACTTGTAGACTGGGTGGGATGTGGGAAGGGGGAATCAGGAACCAAATGTACTGGGTCTGAGGGGCATATCTATTCTGTGGACAAGTCTCCGGGCCCTTCACTTGCATTTTATTCCCTTCCTTAAATAGAGTTAAAAACAAGGAAAAGAGCTTCTGAGTGTAAGCATGCTTTGCCTAAATTGAAGGGAATGTCCAGTTGTTTAGTAAGTGAGAAGTTCTGTATTTGTAGAACTTGCCCCTGGGACTGTGTGCAGATCCAGGGAGGCATTCAGCACCCACCTCTGATGGCCTCATAGAACCCGCACGGAGTTGGGAGCCTACTGTTCTGGTTGGCATCCTTGCCGTGCTGCTTCTGCCCTTGGTCGAAGGGATCATGCACAGCAGGGTGTGCTAATGCTAAATGCAGTGTCGCTTTCTGGCTACATAGGACCCCTTGCAGGGAAAGCTTGTTTTCCTTTCTAATATGATGTTTTACCCGCAGAGTGAGCCTTGCTTGCTTGCTTGTTTGCATGCACTTCTGGGCTCTGCAGTAGGGCCCCTCTACATGTGGGGTAATAATATTTCACAGCACAAGTTGCTCTCCACATGGCAGGAGACTGTGCAGGAACCCCAGTCTGGTCCCCAGTTCAGCACTCACAGCTGGTTAACAGCACAGAAGCAGCTGCTAATGAGTGGGTCATGATAAGGAACCAGGGACAAGACATCACAACTGCCTCTTACCAGTCATGGCTCACGGCCCATGTTAGAGAGACCAACACAATAATTCTGCTTTTAATTCTGCTGCATGACCTGTGCCTTTGAAGCCAGAAGATACCTCAAGCCTAAGTTCTCTTGAAACACAGATGTTAATAGTAGACTCCAGACCAGGCATGGTGGTACATGCTTGTAATCCCAGTACTCAGGAGGCTGAGGCAGGAGAATCGTCACAATTTCCAGGCCAGTCGGGGCTACAGAGTGAGTTCAAGACCAGCCTGAACTATGGCGAGACTCTGTTTCAAAAAAAAATAGTAGACTCCAAAAAGCAAGCTCCAGGCCTACATGCCAGGTTCTGCTGAGCCTCCACCTGAGGGAGGCAGAGCAAGATGTCTTCCTCAAGCCCAGTATTTAAACTAATGTATGCTTTGCATACCACTTGTTAGGCCTTAAACATTAGGTGTGGTGGCATAGGGAATAATTCTGTATGCATTTCTTTTCTTGCTTTCCAAATAGGAGATTCTGGGGGAATAAATTATTTTATACTCAATTTACAATCTTGTCATTCCAGGTAAAAATGACAAGTGGAGAAGCATGATGTTTTCTAATTTCACTTCATCCTAATAAAATTTTGTTATCAAGTATGATTGTTCTGGCTAATGCTTTATTCAAAGCATCTTCTATGTCCAGGCTGACAGTTCTGGATGAAGGGGGTACCAAAAGCTAACATAAGGGAGATGCAAGGGGTTCCAGGGTGTTATTGTTTGTGTCTGGATGTCCCCCTAAAGCCTCATGCAGTCATGGGGCTGGCTTCTAGAGTTTATGATTGATTCATGGTCCAATGTTGAAATTATAGATGTGAGTGTTACACCAACCCTGGGGTGGATAGTTTGCACACAATATAAGGGAAGGAAAAAGGCTGCTTGCCACTGCTCCTCCCTTTTGATCTTGTTGTTTTTGCTGTTTTCTGCCCTCTGCCATATGCCACTCTGCCTTGGAGCCAGCCAAGTATAAACTGAAATCTCCACAAACTGTAAGATAAATAAATTTTTCCTTCCTTAATATTAGGTGTCAGGTATTTTGTCTCAGCAATGAGAGAAAAGTAACCAAGACAGAATTTGGTACCAGGAGTGGGGTCATTGCTCTAACTATACCTGACCATGTGATTCAAGATCCTTTGGAAATGGCTTGTAGGAAGTGTTTGGAAAGGTTTAGAGATTTCACCTGAAATAGACCCATTAGAACACCTTCAGCTGTTCTGTATGGGAAATTCTGATAACAGCTCAGAAGACCAGAATGCTGATAGAAATCCTGCAGGTAAAGACTGTCTTTGGGAGGTTTCTGCTGGGAAGCACTGCATTCGGTTGTTGGAGTCGAGATGATATGCTATGACTTGGCAGAAAATTTGTCTGCATTTTGCTCATGTCCAGAGACTTTGCCTAAAACTGAGATTAAGGGTGGCAGACTGATTAATCTGGCAGAAGAAATTTCAAGGCAGTGGAATGTTGGGGCAGTGACATGGCTGTTGCTGGGGGCTTTTAGCAAGATTTATGTTGGGAATCAAGAGCAAAGAGCCCAGCAGGATGATTTAAAATGTGAGTTTGGCCAGAAAGGAAGCTCCAGTAAAGCTGTGGACTGCAAAGATAGAGTTGAGGAGATCTTGATTGCTGAAGAGAAACAAGGGAACATAAAAGATGGCCTGAGGGTATCACCAGAATCAGCAAGTTTCCACCCTTTGCAGCCTCAAAACTGCAAATGTGAAATACTTTGCTCTGAAAAGAAAGCCACAGAGCACTATGTTCCAGAATGGCTGTGGTAGCTGCACCAGGTTCCAGAATGGTGGTGGCATAGAGAATTTGTTCCTCAGAATTGAATTCAGAGTGCCCAGTGATCCAGGCACTCAACCCCTATGGCCAAGAGAGAGGAACATTTGGCTACTGCTCTAGGTGGCAGCAGATCTTAGCATCATCCATGTGGCACTGGTTTTAGGCACATATAGAATGCAAGAGTTCTGAGGTTAAGAAGGCTTCTACCTAGATTTCAGAAGGCCCAGGTGGCCAGGCAGTGTGCCCCTGAGAGGGCAGTGTGTGAAGTTGTGAGTGTGAAGTGAAAAGTGCAGTGGAGACCTCAGAAGGTTGGAAAAGACCGGAATGTGGATTGTCTGAGGAAAGCTGCAAGAAGAGAGCAAAGCAGGCCCAAGAGAGAAGCCATGGGAGCCACAACCACCAAAAGTGCAATAGGGGTAGAGTCACACAAGGCCTTTGGAGCTCACAACTTATCAACTTATGCTTTGGATGATCCACATGGAACCACAGGACTTAATGTTATCCCTGCTGGATTTTGGACTTGCTTTGGTCCCAATACTTTGTATCTTCCTGTTTGTACCTTTTGGAATGGTAATGTTTGTCTTGTGCCATTGAATATTGGAAGTGTTTAACTTTATTTTCAGTTGTACAGGGGTTCACAGCTAAGAGTTTGCCTTACATCTTGGAGGAGACTTGGGACTTGGACTTTTCAGCAATGCTAAAACCGTTAGGACTCTGGCAACTCTTGTAAATGGACTAAATACCTTTGCATAAAGGGATGTGCATAAGTCTTTGGAGGGCCAGGGGCAGAATGTAATGGTTTGTGTCTGAATGTCCCCCTAAAGCCTCACACAGTTAAGGTGCTTGCTTCTAGAGTTTATGATTGATTCATGGTCCAATGCTGGGATTATGGGTGTGAGTGCTACACCTACCCTGGGGCAGGTAGTTTGCATACAGTGTAAGGGCAGGAAAGAGGCTGCTTGCCACTGCTCCTCCCTTTTGGTCTTGTTTTTGCTGTTTTTTACCACCATGAACAGTTGCCCTCTGCCATACGCCACTCTGCCTTGAGGCCAACCAAGTGTGCACTGAAGCCTCCACAAACTGTAAACTAAATAAACCTTTCCTTCCTTAATACTGGGTGTCAGGTATTTTGTCTCAACAATGAGAGAAAAATAACTAAGACACAGGGTCAGGTACAGGCAGAGGGGCTGGTGCAACAAGCCACTGAGGAACAAAGATGCAGCATCGGGCTAGGAGGATTCCCCAGAGAAGGGAAACTGGGTCAGAGTGGCAAAAACTCCTCATTTCTCATTGGAAGTGACCAGAATTTATGAGGAGCTACAGAATTAGATGGAGGGGAAACTGAAGGATGAAGGAAAGAAAGGAAGAAAATAAGGATTCATCTTCTTTCTGCCTCCATCGTGTGAAAGAAAGAGATAAGAACTTGGTGTTTTCCTTATTTTGTGTGAAGGAAGACGCAATAGGAAAAGAGGCTCCCCAAAAAAGGCAAACATTACTGGGAGCAGAAGTCAAGAAAAAAGAGAAATATGACTTACCATTTGGAAATGAGATAAGATGGGGAGGTGGGTACACAGTCTAAACCCAGCACCAGCTCCCTAAGAAGGCACAGCAAAAATAGGCCGCTGCCATCCGGACAAAGCCTCTTCCTGCTTAGAAACGAAATCTCCTTAAGGCTCAGCATCATGAGTCACTGCTAACAAGAATGGAGCACTGCTTATGCAGCCTGGCCCCACGTAGGTCTGACACCATGAGTCTGAGGAAATTGTGCCCCACCCAATCTGCAGGACAAGATGCTGAATCCGACTTCAAAATGTGATTTCCTGGCTTTTCCTCTGAACCCGTCCAGGACCCCATCAGTGGCTAGTGTCCCAGTTAAGTAATTCATACAGCCAAATTCCTGTTATGCTCCTGTTGTGAAGGATAATAGTTTGTGATCTTAAGAAATTCTCTGTGCTTTGATTAGCAGCCTCGAGACTGTGAAATTCGAACCTATTATTTACTGCCAGTTTCTAATGAATAATAAAGGCACAGGCGTTTTGGTCAAACTACTAATTCTTCCACTCATTATTAGAGCTCTAAACAGGACTCTAATTAATTAGCTGACTTGAACTGCTCACCGTGTGTACATCACACACACATGCACAGGCACATGCACAGGTATGAATTTCACTCACTGTTAGGGTCTCAGCTGAGCATCTGTGGTGTCTCCTGTGATTCATGGAAGTATCTTGCAAGTCTGAGCCTTGTAGAAAGTGTTCATTAATCATGAAACTTCTAGAAACTTCTTGGAGAGCAATTTAACAGTATATATCAAAGCTAAAAATTTAAATACCCTTTGATCCACTAACTTCATGTGCGGAGCTTTTATTCTAGATGTGTGATAAGTTATACATAACAAAAGTATTTAGTAAAACAACTGAATTGCCATCCTTGCTAAATAAATCATGGATCAGCCATTTCATAAAACAGCACCATATGTACTGATAAATTTGACTACTTGAAAATATGAAAAAATATAAGACCCAATAAAACAAATTTATAAACAGAGCAAGCTGAGAGAAAATACATTTATATACTTTTTGTATGTGTACGGGTATTAGATGTAGGATTATTCATCAGGATATACAAAGAACCCTTATCAGTGAATGATAAAAGAAAACGCTACCAATAAAAACTTGTGCCAAGATTATATAGCATTAAATATGTACATCTTCAGTCTAGAATTTCTTTTAGGCATCTATGCAGAAAATTAAAAGCTTGACATTTATGTATAAGGTGATATATAAAATGATATTCATTGTGGCACTCTTCTTGCAAAATATTGGAGGGAAATAAAATATCCATCAATAGCAGAAAAGTTAGCTAAATATACTACAGACTACTCTTCAGCAATTGATTGTACTCTGCATAGAGATCAGTCTATACACATGCACTCAGGTGGAAACATTTCCAAGATATATCGTCAGTGAAAAAGTAGCAGACTGGTAACCAAAAGAGGAGTAGGATTAGGAGAGCTGGTTTGAGAGAACCTTCTGGATTAATTGCATTATGGTTTAATTTTTATAGTAGTGCTATAATGTGATTTTCCTGTTTATTAAAATAAATTAAAAGTATGAAAAATACAGGTAGTAAAGTAACATACCCTTCTTTCCCTGAAAATAAGATCTAGGCAGAAAATAATCAGCTTTGGAAACTACAGAACAAAAAGGCCATCACCAAACAGCCTATCCTTGCCTTACCTGTCATCACTATTCTCTTTTTCACTGGCTACTCTGTAAACCATACCCGGCACGGAAATTGTGGCTACGTCCTCACATACATTAAAATGTGCTTCCATGCTTTGCCTGATCTTTCATACACCAATGACATGTTCAGAAGCCTGAAATCAAGGGGTTGGCTTCTTCTGAAGGATGTGAGGGAAATTTGTTCTCTGCCTCTCTCCTACTTTCTGGTGTGTGCAGAAATTACTGGCATTCATTGGCTTATAGCTGCCTCACTTGGACCTCTGTGTCCATCCTCACACGGTCTCCGAGTCTTTCTCCTGAAAGGACACTGATTATTAGAGTTCATGCTCATCTAGTGTGACTTCATCTTCATTACATCTGCAAAGACCCTGTTTCCAAACAAGAGTTACATTCCTAGGTACCATGTCCTTCAGGGGACAAAACTCAACCTTGGTGAATGAGCTGGAGTAGAAATGAAAAAATCCCAAGCCACTGTGTGTTGTGCCGTGTATGGCTACAAAAGAGACAAAGTAAAATAGCTTATCCTTCATCTAAGAAGGGATACCTGTACATGTCTCTACTGTTGGACGTA